TTTTTGTTTTGTTTTTTTCAATTTGATTTTTTTCATTGGGGTAATATGCTTACATCATTGTTTGTATTTTGGGAACATAGGAATCCACTCCCTTCAATTGTTAGTACCATAATGCTCTACCAATTTCTAAAAAACTGTTTCATAGTAAATTGATTATACTTATAAATGAAGGTCATTTTAAAGCAGAAGAAATAGATATTTAGAAGACATTAGCATTTATAAGCTCAAGTTCAAGACAAATGTAAGGCAGTTTCTACCTACCAAAATAGCTTTCAGGCAATCAACCACAAAAAGCATTAGCACTTAGTACAAACTCTGGAGGATACCTCATTGACTTGGGAAATGTAGAATTAAGTGCTTCCTGAAAAGCAAATCCCAATCTAAGTAGCTTATCTAGATATACCTTCTAATTGGTATTGTTTTTCTTGTGGCTGTCTGTATTGTTTTGATATAGTGGATATAACAGTATTCTGATCTGATTGTATCATGTGTACTCAGAACATTTGTTAGCTGAACATGAATAGTGATTTTTGCTGTTTACTCTTATTCCCAAGGCTACCTATTATTTTTTAATGTCATGTATTACTGATCCCAGGCCATAAGGTTAGGAACAAATTTGAGTTATTTCCTTTCATTCACCACTTTCATTCAACACACATTTACTAAGTGTGTGCTATATTCCACCAGCATTAGTTAACTTTTGTGGGGGTCAAAAAAACAAACTGTGATCTCTGCCCTCATGGAGTTTACAGCCTAGCAAATTAAGCCTATTAAAAGTTAATATTAACTTTTAAAATCATACAAGTAAATTTAAAATTGCAACAAACTAAAATTTGAACACTATACTAAAGAAGTTCTTGTTCTAAAAAATTTTGAACCAAGTTTGGAACACTTCAAATCTTCTTCCTTCTCATTACAGAGGTTAATAGTTTGAGTTACTTACTGCACTTTAAGTATATTCCTTGTGCATAATAACTTGGCCTTACTATAAAGGGGATACTTCCACTGCTAAATATCCCCATTAGTCATATGAACCTGTGCCTTTATCCAAGTAAATGAGTTCCTCCCTCTCCACACACCATTGGAGATAACTGTCAGTTTGAAGGGATGCTTTTGATGTTAGTGTATGATTGGTGTTTTTCTTCTAAGAATCATTTTATCCAGAATAAATTCTAGCTTGGGATTTTGGATAATGGGGGCTGTTAGATATATTTTAAAAGCTTACACTTACAGAATTGAATAAAGTACAGTCTAATTTAAACATGAAACCATAAATAAAGATTAAGTCGTAAGTGTTTATACATATTCTCAGTTGAACCTAAGTCCACATTTAAATTAAAAATGCCACTATCACCCTATGTCAGAAATTTTAAAATGCATTTTTATTTTAGCAAACAGAACCAGTTATATTACTTAGTTGGGTTATTTTAAGTTGTGTGCTGTTGTGCCTTGAAGACTTTTCAAATATTTTGAATGGTAAGGTCAAGAGAAGTTATATATTCTTGTTCTAGTGATTTTGAAAGGATATTTTTTGTATATATGCAAACTGTCAAAATAATTCAGAATGGACTGTGCTTAAATTATTATTGTCATAATTGAGTCATCTGTGTTCATGGTTGGCTTTGAAAGAATTTCTTACCCCTTATTTGTAGGATTATTGATGTTATTTTTAACTAATTTGGCAGTATGTGGCTATACACTTAAAATTGTTAAATTGTACAAAACTAAAACCAGTTATAATGAAGTTGTTTTTCAGTCACATAGTGGCTGTTCTCAAATGAGATGAAAACTGTCTGAAGAATGTTCTTGTATGTATGCCAAGAGGCTTCTGGGATGGGCATATTTTTAAAGACTTAGAACATAAACAACTGTGATCTGTGGTAAGAGATTTAAATGACCTCATAGCGACAATGAGAACAAAGCATTTTTTAGTTATCGTGGTGGCATGTTAATTCATTGCAGTGTATGTCATTGTACTACTTTGGTGTATTAAAATGAAACATCCAAGCAAAAAAAAATTACAGATTATGTTTAGCTAAAGATACTATTTCATTATTGCTATAAATAAACAAGCTAAATATCAGAAAAATACATTTCCTGAGAATAAATATTTTACAAATTATTCTAGAACTAATGTAGATCCTTTATAGGTCCGTAAAACAAGCTAACAAAAAGAGCTCTCCACATCATCACTTTAGGATTTGACCCTTTTTTTTGTATCCTAAGGTTTGATTCATTTTCTGTTGGAGAGAATGTTTCAAACATGAAGGATCAAACAGTTGGCTTGAAGTAAGAATCCCTGTTTCAAGACAGATCAATTAAGTGTTTATTAAGTACTTAGTATGTGTCTGGCACTATGCTAAATATTGTGGAATACCAAGTAAAGTGACTTTAGCTGCCTTTGGTCTGTCTGGAAGAAAAGACAACTCAGATGAAACGTGTAAAGTTATACAAAGACATTTTATAATCAAGTACCAAATGGTATCATTTATGTGATACAAATAATGAAATGAAATAGCCCTTCTTTTCAGGAAGAACTTTGGATGGTTGTCTAGTGCTTATGCTTATGGAGAGTTTGTTTTGGCCCTCCTCCCACCAAGAGGACATTTTTTTATTTTCACAAGTAGGGCTACTGATATTTAGTAGATGGGCCAGAAGCACTGCTTAATATCCTGCAGTGCACAGGATAGTTCTTTAAAACAAAAAGTTAATCGATCCAAAATGACAATGGTGTCAAAATGAGAAAACATGATATTGAACGTACAAATGTCAATGCTGGTAAATTTGGAAGTTATGTTCCCAAAAAATAAAGATTAAGAACCCACTGCAATATAGGCTAGAAGCTAATAAAAATTTGAATGCATCAAACCAAAGTTCTAGCTATCTAAAAATGTAACAAGACAGAGCCTTCCTTAGCATTCATTGTGTTTAGGTACACATAGAATTTAAATTTCAGGGATCAGAATTCATCAGAGGATACATTTGCTAAAAACAAAAGACTAAATATATTTATCTAATATTTTGAAATAAAATCATTATTCCTGTATGGTGAAATTAGACTACTCTAAAGATTATTAAAACATTGAGTACAGTATTTTGTATATAGAATTAGACTGAACCGATTTTTTGTGTGCCGACACACAGGCACAATATATATATTGTGTTTTTTGTTACTTGAATGAACTTGTTTTGTCAGGATTTGCCTCGTTCTCTCAAATGTGGATCCCAGTTTATATTCCCTAGGTGCTATGTATCTGTCAGTCAATAAACTGTGGTAAATTTTTAAATTGAAGGTTATGTTTTAGATTTGGAATCCAGTTAATCAGAGATCCTACAAACAGTATGCCATAAAAGTAGATCTGTATAACTTTGTGTATACATATAATTTAATACCTTTCTAAATTATAGAAATTTGGAGATTAAGTCTTGACTTAAAAGCCAAAGAAGGGACCTTAGAGATCATCTATTCCAGCTGCTTCATACTCTCCTTTAGGGGTCAAGACCCAAAGCACTACACTTAGTTGTTTCATATATTTGAACTTCCACCCAATATTTTCTTGGAAGGAAAATGTGATGGTTGTGGGGTGGAGGGAGTTGCATTCTTTTGACTAGATTAACCTCATTTTGCAGATAAGGAGCTTAAGACCCAAAGTTTCACATTTTGTTCATAGGCTGCACATTTATTTTTGGGGGGTCATACCAGGATGATAGATGTTTTTGGTAAATTGTATAGAAGAAACCGAAAGTTCAGATTCTAACTGTGCAGCTTGCTAGCTGCATATTCTTAGACTAGCTGCTGAATGTTCTTTTCTTATGTACTCACAAGGAAAAAAGGAAATTATATTCTTAGTCCTGTTTTCATTTGCTTAGAATTTAGGTTATATCTGAAAAGATGGTCAGGATTGCCTTTGTCTTAAAAAACATTTTGAATTAGTCCATTAATTGTTTGTCAAAATAATAACTGTTAGCTAAGTATTTAAGCTCCCTCCACCCCAAGCAAAAGATTGGCCAACCATTTCCACCAAAAATTACTGCAGAATGAAACAAGCATCTTTATAAAAGAGTATGTAGTACAGTAGTCTTTTTTCCATTACCTTGGCTGTAGTGATACTCTTTAGGGAGTGATCGATCACCTTGGGCTTTTCACCTTCTTACTTTCTCGATTTATTACATAAGATATATAAACACATGGATGAGGAGCTACAGAATTTAAGAAACAAGGACCTTGAGGGAGGAAATATTGATACAAATGCAAACAACTGTGTTGGGAGAACTATGAAGAGCAATCTGACCTTGTTGGTCCTGTTGATCATAAAGATGTAATCTTACGTAATGCTTGAGGGAAGATTATGAGAATTCTTTCCTGCAACATGTTTAGTAATAAAGGGTTGCCTTAATAAATGGTTTTATTATTCACCTATAGTTTCCAAAGGATAAAGGCTTTCACTTGGGTGATAGATACAAGTTCAAACACTGTTAAAAGACCTCTGATCTTTTGCTACCAAAATTGAACTAGTAGTGATATACAGAGATGATTTTATTTTGTGTTTTTTCTTAACTAAAAGCTCAAATTAATTAAATATAGATAAATGAAGACTGAGCCTAAATAAAGGATTTCCTTTATTGACCATATATCAAGTTAATGGCTTTGTGTGTTTATTTTGGTTTGGTTAGTTGTTTTTTTTTTTTTCTGCTCTTAGGAAATAGCTTTCATTTAAGTTGATCCTATATTATTTTGTGTCCCTTGGAGTATTTAAAATTCAGTGTTAAATTTTACGATGCTACCCTATAAATATGTTTGAATTGCACCATTTTGTAAAATACAGTTTTGAGTGACTGAAGATATGATATTTTTAGTAGTAATTTCTTTTTCTTATTGAGGTAATGTTAGGGTCCCCCTTCCCCTAATTAGGTATCACTGCTTGTAGTCTACCCACCACCAGATCACCTGTAGTCCACCACCAAGTATGACATTTTAAACTATTTGTGTTTTTCCTCAGGTCTTAAAGAAAATGCAGAAGAAATGGTCAAAAACAAATTGGAAGGAAAGAATAAACTGACACCTTGGGAACAGTTTTTAGAGAAGAAGAAAGAGAAAAAAAGACTGAAAAAGAAACAGAAGGTATCAATGATAATTCTAATTAAATATTGAATGGTAATTATGTATTATGTTGCTCAGTGCTTGGCATCCATTATTATAACTAGAGTAGCCCTAAAAGTGATTGCAGTTTCAAGAAAAAGATGAACCCTATAGGTCAGATGTTCTCTGCAAAGGCACAGCATGATGTATAAGCTTTATAATAGCCGAGAGTCAGTTTAACCACTGTGTTCTTAGGTAAATCTTACATTTACATGCTACCTAAATAAGATACATAGTTGATGTATAAATGTAAAACAATATGATTCTTTTCTATGTTCTTGAGTAAGAAAGGTGTATAGGCTTGTTAACTTGAGAATAATCACATATAGAAGTCTTTAACATGAATGAGAATTTTGTGTGCACATTTCTATTTTTCAACCTGCATTTTTTGCTTATTATTATGCTCTTTTAACATCTTTCTGTTTAAAGTCCCTTTTTTAAGGCAGTTTCCTCTGTGCTAATATGGTCTCCATAAAAAATCTGATTACCCTCCCATCATTTGGGAATAACATTTTTTTCAGAGTTAGAATCCCTAATAATAGCAAGACCAGAATTTAGATTTCTCATTCATTGTTCTTTCTAAGGTACTGTAACTCTCTCTGTACTATGTAGAACACTTGTGACTTCAGTGCAAGTTGAGTGGTGCTATGGAGTAATTTTATACCCCTGTTGTGGTTAAATGTTCTGATAATAGAAAGTAAAATGAAATAGGGTTAGAGCCCTACCCTCATTGTTACACTGCTATCTTCTTCCCAGAACTTCCTTCAAACCTACATAGGTGGTAAAAGATCTTTTAAGAAGAATAATTCTTCAAAATTAAGCCAGTATATTAGAAGACTTAGAAATGTTTCTTTGCAGGAATCAATAAAATAATTGCTTGTTTCTGAGACCATTAGCAGCTGTTCTTCTTGATTTTCATTTCTCAGCTTTGAGATTATCTCATGCTTTTTCTCTTTCCCTTCATTGGGCTAAGACTGGACTGATTTTAACAACATTAAAAATATATCTGTTGAGTTCCCAGTCTGTTCTAGACTCAGTGCTTACTACTGCACTTGGTAAGTCCAAAAATCCCTTCCACCTTCATACGTTTCTCTTTGTATTGATTTCACAACCCCTCACAGATAACAAAATTTCTAGATATTCAGTTTGCTTAGAGTCAGCTCTCTTTATCTCCTTATTCCACATCCATGCATTCAGCCACTCCACATACATAGTTGCTTGAATCCAGGAATGGTGTGCCCAGGATATGATTAACCAGCTGTATTGAAAGAAATCTATATATAAGTGAACCTATACAGTTCAAACCCATTTTGCTTAAGAGTAAACTACATTCTTGGTTTAAAAACATGCTCAGCTAAACCCATTGTAATAATGTAGTGATTAAAAATTCCTAGAAGCTTTTGGTCCTAGAAGGTTATTAATATCAAAATGAATATTCTGTTTGAAATGAATATTCTATTTTGTTAAGATGACTTAAAGATGTTTTAGATTTCTAAAGATAAACTCAGTCTGGTTAGTCTGATCTTAGTTCATATTTATTGCTGTTTTTTTAAATAACACTTGATTTTTAATCTAGTTATACAGATTTAGTAGTAAATCTGTCAGACTTTATTAGGGAAAATTTAAATTAACAGATTTCCTTAAAAACAGCCCAGGAATCTTCAGGAATAGATTCTAGATTAAACATGGTACTTGTTGTAATTGAGTGGTAAGAATACATGTTCATTATGCTGTTCGTACTATTTTTTTAATGTGAAATTTTTATATTGAAAATTATTTTCTATCACCAGCAAATTTTTTCCAGTAATAATTTGGAAGATAACCCATAATATACTCCTTTAAGCTATTGATAGTCATAGCCATTTGTTGTTAATTGATATAAAGCTATCTCTTCATAATTACTAAAGGTATTTTTGAATGCCTATATTACTTTATCTCTTATAGCATTTCCTCTCTTGAAGTATTATCCCTTATGTGTAATCTATTTATACACCTAACTTACTTTGATAGATTTTAAAGTTTTGATAACAGAAGCCATTTATCTAATAACTTTCATTTTCCCCTAAATATCCTACATAATTTCCTAATATTAAATTCTTAATAATTGTTTTTTGAACAAGCAAAAGATTGACTCAGATGGGAGTTAATTTTCTAAATTAATCCATTATCAACATTTATTTAATTTTAGATTGAACTACTTGATTTAAAAGAAATGATTTTATTTCACATACATATATTATGTTTTCATAATATGTATAAATTGTATAAACTGTATGTATAAATATTTTAATTTTTAAGGCTCTTGCTAAAGAAGCCAGTGAAGATGAACTTCCCTCTGATGTTGATTTAAATGACCCATACTTTGCTGAAGAAGTTAAGAAAATAGGTAAGCTATCTATATATTTAATTTTCAATTGGAATTGAAAGAAAAAAGGTAATATAGTAGATAGAAAAATGTAAACTAGGGCCCCCCTGGTGATATAAGGGGATAGTCTCATTACTATGAAGCTATGGCCAGCCACTGCAGCATGCATTCAATCCCCAGTCAGGGAGCTGACCCACATGGCACAATAGATTTCTCCTGTCTTGTCCGCTTGTCCCCACAGCAGTGTATTTCAGAAGATCCGCTTGTTCTGCTCCCTACTCTTGTCTCTAGTAAATGCTTTCACCGACACCTCTGGTCTATACCCTGCTCTTGTATGTATAAATAAATAAATATTTTTTTTTAAAAAAGAAATATATAAGCTACTTATTCTTTTGAAGCAGCAAGAAATTATAGAGCTGTCCTATGAAATACTGTAGAATGGGTCAGATTGTCCCATTATGTGCAAATTACATACAAGAAACAATTTCATTATAGGAAATTTCTGGTTACATGAATAATTTATCAGTTTTAGTGAAGGTTCTTTTCAAGAAAATCTAGACAGATTATAAAGGGATAAGCAAAAAATAAATAAAAGAGTCATCTTCTTTAGTGTTTTGCTACTTAACACATCCACTCAAGGTCTGTCTTTGAGAGACTATGAAGAATTAAAAGTGAAATTTATGTTTGGTTGAATATTTGTATAACTTTTTAAAAATTTTTACATGGTATTGTAGTAAAAGGCTTTTCTGCTCAAATATATAGTAAAAGTATCTATCTCATTTTATCCCTTTTGTATTTATCCTGCTTCATTTTAAATGAAAGTTAATGTCATACTCTCTTCCCTGAATTTTTAAACTATGGTATCTGATGTCCCAAATCCAGGGAATCTTGTTTGCCTTGGCACATGCGCCACTCATTCTTTCTGAATACTTTTCATTCTTAACTCTTTAATGTGTGTGCATGTATATGAAAAGTTCAGACTATCCTTTAACAAGTCAATACAGAGGCATTTTTCATTTGTTCTCATCCATTTTACTGTCTCTGATCTGAATATCACATACATGAACCCGCAAATACCTTGCTTCTGGAGCAGCTCCAAGCTGGCATTATAAAGAAAAGGATTCCAGGAAGTTTTTCTGCTTTTTGTCCCTCATGACTAGTGGACCAGAATAGTTTGAACAGGAAAGTCAGAATTGCTCAAAATTATTTTGTGGTAGTGGTTCTCTTATAGTACTGCCATTTTATCGATGAAAGGGAGGTCAAAATAAATAAAGTCTGCAATAGAATGTGAGATTCTTAGGAATTAGAAGAAGAATGAAAATTTAGAATATTCTGCTTTTTATCATAGCCTGAGTGGTCATTTCTTGATGATGGACTAATAAACCTCTAATTCAGGAAACCAAATTTGTAAATAAGCTTTTTCTAACATTAATTTCAAAAGTTTCAAGGGGAAATACAGATAAAATTTGCTTGTTTTCAATGTACTTTATGATCTGCTAAAGAAGATTTATTTTATATAATTAGACTATCTTGAGAATATGGTTGATGTCTTAAAGGAAAAAAGTAGGGTGATATAGATAGTTTAACTGGGAGGAAGAAGAGTGGCTTATTTTATATAGGGTAGATAAAGAAGGGCTCTCTGAAGTAATGCACGATATTTAAGCTGAGAATGGGTGGAGAGTCTGGCATAAAGTGCTAGGTTAAGAGCTTTGCAAGTAAGGGGAATTTGGGTAAAAAGACTTTGAGGTGAGAAAGAACTTGTCATGTTAGAGAAATTGAAAGCTACCTGACCAGAGGGAATTTGGTATGAGACCAGGGTAGCATAGAGGACCAAACATGCAGGGTCTTACCATTGCAAACTGTCAGTGAAGGCCACTAAAAGGTCTTTATGTGACATGATACAGTATATTAACATACTGCTCTAATACTCTGAATAAAACAAATTGAAGAAAGATATTGGTGAGAACTGGGATATCAGGTTTTGGCAGAGATCTCGAAAGGTAATGATGGTTGACTTAAAAGGCATGCCAGTAATGGAACTGGAAGGAGAAAAATTAATGAGATTCTAGATATATTATGAAGGTAGACTTCTTGATTTATTTGGGTAAGGAAGAAATTTAGCTAGATTGGTTTGGGTCTCTGGAAGAATGTTCTTCCATTAAGAAAAATTGTTAAGGTGGGAAGTAAAAGTTTGTATGTGTAATCTCTTAAAATGTCGTTTAGCTATCCAAATAGAGATATAAAGTTACATACATGTGAGTCTGTGAGATCAGCTGAAAAAGTCAGAATGCAAATATAGACTTAGGAATCAAGAACATATAAATGGTTTTTTAAACTATGGGACTAGAGGCAGTATTGATAAAAGAGGTATATATTGTGAGGGTGAATCATGACTCCAGAGGATAAAATTATTCTGTCATACTAGAGGAGGCACACTTCAGAAATATTGTAGTTTTCTTTCCTGGCCACTACAGTAAAGCTGGTGACAGGGATTTTTTGGTTTTGTAGTGCATATAAAAGTTATGTTTAGACAATACTGTAGACTGTTAAGCATGCATTAAAACAGTGTGCATATTTTAATTAAATTTGACATAGAGATACAAGTGAACACGTGCTTTTGGAAAATGGTGCCAGTAGACTTGTTGACATGAGGTTGCCACAAACCTTCAGTTTGTAATCTACAAAGTACAGTAAAGTGAAGCACAATAAATGAGGTATTCCTATACTTGGAAAGTAGGGGGAAGGCTTAAACTGAGAAGCAACAGTTGTGTGTGTAGGAAAAAAGCACTGGTGTCTAGACGCGTGGGTAGCTTAAGTCTCAAAGTTGAACAAGACAGAAACCTATGAAGCCAGATAGATTTTGGTACATGTATATACTTTTGGCTTAGGCAGTCCTGTTCTTAGTCTTCAAAAGATAGAAAAAGTCAGCTTATTGATTGATGCTGGGTCCAATTTTTCAGCTCAATTCAGGAGCCAATATAAGTATTAGAAATATTTTCTAATTTTTCCTCCCTTTACACTGTAAACTTGCTATAATTTTTCTTTTTATTTTTCTCTAACTGACAAACTTGATATGAGAGCTTCAAGAAAATAATGCCCTTTAAGATGAGTTAGAATTTTTTTTCTTTTAAAAATGAAATACCTGGTTATTATTAATTATGAAACCTCTCTAATAAGATTTTATTTTTGAGAAAGAGTAAGATAAAGTATATTGCATGTAATTGTACCCTATTAAAATATATTAATTATATTGATAACTATACATATTTGGTAAACTTTCATGAAAATCTATTAATGTGGTACACATATTTGATTCACTTAACCAGCCATGTTGAGTGAAATATACTGCTTGTATGTCTTTATAATTTTTTTAAAGATTTATTTATTTATGCATACAGAACTAGGGTACAGGCCAGAGGTGCAGGGATGGTGAGAGGATTCACCAGAGACAGAGTGGGGGGCAGAACAGGCAGATCAACGAAGTACACTGCTAAGGGGAGCAGCGGGCGGGTCAGGAGAGGTCGGCTGTGCTATGCAGATAACCTTGGGGGCTGGGATCAAACTCATGCTGAAGTGGCTTTAGCTTCTTAATGCTGTGCTTTAACCCACTGCACCACCAGGGAGGGCCTGTTTTTATAATTTACTAATAATTTTATTTGTATTCTGTCCGCTAATCCAAACTTTAGCCCACTTTATAGATCAGAAAACTGAAGCTAAATGAACATAGTTGAAAGGAACAAAATTCAGTGGCAGATAAGCCCTAATGATTTCCTTCATTTTTTTTAAGATTTATTTTTACTTATTTATGCATGTAAGAATTGGGATATAAGTGCACCAGAGGTAAAGTGTGGAGTAAAACAGGTGGATCTACTGATATAGACTGCTGAAGGGACCACCTGGTGAGACAGGAGAGGTCTGCTGCTGGACATGAGAGATCACTAGATGTCCTAGCAAAGACAGAATGTCCAGAAGAAGATAATAGACTACATCTTATTGTTGGCATTGATCTTGAACATAGACCTTAACTGCAAAATAGTGATTCACTAGGGGTCCTGGTCTGCACCCCAGTAAATTCCCTTAACTATCTCAAAAGAAGTGCTTAACTAAGCCCTCTGAGGCTACTCATTTATTTTTAAATGGGAGCAATTCTCTGATATTGTGAAGTAAGGGAAAATGAAATTTCCTTTAGATGATCCTTTTCCACATTATTTTTTTTGCTGTTTATCTATTTCCATAAATGTATTCTGTTACCTTTTTTGCTTAAAGAGGTAGTATCCTCAGTAAGGATTGTTAACTATAAAATTCTGACTGCAAATTTCTAGTCTCTTAAGTATTCAACAATTAGAGTAATCCATATGTATTTCTTGCAGCAGTTTCAGGAGATCAAGAAGATGTGTTTTTTTTTTTTTTTTAAAGATTTTTATTTATTTATGCAGAGGTGTGGGGTGGTGAGAGGCTTCACCTGAGACAGAACAGGCAGATCAAGGAAATACACTGCTGAGGGGAGCAGCGGGCAGGTGAGGAGAGGTCTGCTGTACCATGTGGTCACCTCCAGGGCAGTCACGGATCGAACTCATGCTGAAGTGGCTTTAGCTTCTTAGTGCTGTGCTTTAACCCGCTGCACCACAGGGAGGGCCCTAAGAAGATGTGGTTTTTAACTTGAAAAAAAAGTCACTGAAAATAAAAGATAACATTTCAAAACAAACACTTTCATTTCCCTAGTACACATCAAGTGTCAGTTTTAGCTCTGGCCATCTTGAAATTTTTTTTCCTCCCTTGTTGCAAGTTTTCTTTCATGTTTATTTGTATGACTTTTCACCAGTTTCTTATAAAGTCCAGATCAGTTTGTTGTGGGTTCTTTGAAATTATTTTCCACAGCTATATAGGAAGATCTTTATCTCCCTTGTATAATAATCATCTTCAGCCTAATTTTTTTTTCTGGCTCCCACAAATGATCTCCTACAAAGCTTACTTGTCCATTCACTTAAAAAGGGGCTCTTGGCCCTCCCTGGTGGCGCAGCAGGTTAAAGCACAGCAGGTTAAAGCACAGCACTAAGAAGCTAAAGCCACTTCTGCATGAGTTCGATTCCCGCCTCGGAGCTGACCCACATGGCGTGGCAGACCTCTCCTGAACTGGCCGCTGCTCCCCTCAGCAGTGTACTTCATCGATCTGCCTGTTCTGCTCCCCTCTCTGTCTCTGGTGAATCTTCTCACCATCCACATCTCTGGCCTGTACTCCAGTTCCGTATGAATAAATAAATAAATCTTTAAAAAAAGGCGGGGGGGGGGCTCTTACCTTAACAACTTAGTAGCAGAGAGAAACTTAAGTAGGGCACAAGTGGAACCATAATGATACTTACATGTATAAATATATTCATATACTGTATACAGAGAAAATGTTATCTAAAATGGATGCATCACTCCCTAAGCAACAGTTGAGATAGGAGCAGTAATCATTTCACTTTAGGGAGGACTGCATGCAATAATATTTCTACTTGGAAAAACAGGCATATACGCTTTGGTAGAACAGCAGGGTTTTATAGTTGAGGGTTTTATAGAGAGCGGTAAAAGTTTATATACTGAGGTAACTAGTCCCTTGTATTTTCTTATAGGATCTTTTTATTATTATTATTTAAAGATTTATTTATTTATGCTTACAGAACTGGGGTACAGGCCAGAAGTGTGATGGGTGAGAGGATTCACCAGAAACAGTAGGGAGCAGAACAGGCAAATGTACTGAAATACATTGCTGAAGGGAGCAGCGGGTGGGTCAGGAGAGGTCTGTTGGACCGTGTGGTTCAGCTCTCTGGCCAGGAATTGAAGTCACATTGCAGTGGCTTCTGAGAGCTTCATAATGCTGTGCTTTAACCCACTGTGCCATCAGGGAGACCGAAATCTTTTTATTTTAATGTCTCTTTACCTGTATTTTATTTTTACTGTATGTCATCAGGTAAGACTTAATTTCTTTTTCAGTTTAGTTTTTGTTTTTTTTTATTCAGAATAAAACAAATTGCCAAGCCTGATCTTTGAACAATCCTTGCTCTTATTTCATAGCACACTATATTTTGTTATTTTTACTTTGCTTTGTACATTTAGTACACTGATATTACTCATCAAATCTATTAATCATTATAAAGATTTCTTTAAATGGAATCTCATTAAGAATTTTATTGAATGAATCATATATATCATGCTTGAATATTGAATTTTAGCAAATGCTTATTCAGTGTTTATTGAAATGATCTTATTGTTTTCCTTTTTTAGTTGATATGTAATTATACTGATTTGAAATGAAATTATAATATTTGGTCAATCCATCTAAATGTAATGAATTTTTATATTTGAAGCTATAGTCATCTATCAATAACTTATTTACATTAAATTTCTGGGCATTTAGTTGCAAGATATTCTTAGTTATCTTGCATTTTTTTCCTAGTATAAAGAGATATCTTTTAAATTTTACCCCATCTGTGTTGGTTTGTTATGCCAGGCATAAAGAAAAAATCAGTGAAATCTACAAAGGGTGGCACAACTCCAGAAGAAGAAAGTGAAATAGAAAGACAAAAGGTAAATCCTGATTACTGTTACATACCTCATGGATAATACATAGTTTGTTATTTTTTTATTTATGTTTTCCCCCGGTTATATTTATTTCATTGTATCTGATCCTTGAGTTCTAGATTCAAACCTCTACAAATGAATATTTTCATACTTTGCCCACCACAGATCCCAACAATCCTCTACATGTTTCATTGTGCCCTTCTCTCCATGTTACGCTTTTCTGGTTGCCTCAGTTTTGCAGTCAGATGTTAAGAATTTATTACTGGTTTGGTTTGACTAACCCTTTGTTAGTTTCTCTGTATTCCACATATAAAGGAGACCATCCAGTATTTGTCTTTCTCCTAACTCTTTTCACTTAGCATTATCCTCTCTAGTTACATCATGTTATGGCAAATGACAAAAGTTCATTCTTATAGCTGAGTAGTATTCCATTACACACACACTTTTCCCATCTAATCCTTTGTCATTGGGCTGTTTCCATAACTTGGCTGTTATAAATAGGAGTACAGTCAACAGCAGAGTACATATACCTCTTCAAATTCATGTGTTTTATATTTTTGCTTCAAATATCTAGAAGTAGGATTGATGGGTCATATGGGAGATCCACTTTTAATACTTTGACAGACCTTCATACTGTTTCCCATAGGGCTGGACCAGTTTACGTTCCCACTGAGGAGGCACAAGGATTCCTTTTACTCCATATCCTCACCAACATTTGTTTCTGCTCTTTGTGACATAGGAATATGTACAATTTAAATACAGTTGTTCATATGGGTTTCTGTTTTCCCTAATTAAAAACAAAAACTAGTCTTAGCAACTTAAAGTTATAAACTACATATTAAGTGTTTTATCAATGTGGTTTTCAAATACCTTTCTTCCAAACATTTCTCCAACTAATAGAATGTTAAAATTTACCTTAAAGCCAAGGCTTAACAGTTAAGTAACTAATTATTTAAAACCCTTACTGTATTTGAGACAATATTACTATTAAAACAAAAATAATTTAACCGTAAATTTTAGTTCAATGAAGCTTTGTCCTGTAATACAGACTTTGCTTTTATGACTTATCAAATACTATTTTCCCTCCAATTTATTATTACAAACAAAAATTTAAAGGACAAAATTAAATCCTATCTTGGCAGTGCAGTGAATTTTATGCAATAATTTTAAAATCACTTGCATGGTCACCTTAATTATCTTTTTTTTTTTTTTTTTTGCAAAACCCAAATATACAGCATTTAATGAAATAAACAATATAATTGTTTTGGGACTTAACCAGAACTGGTAAAACTAGTGGTTTAGAAAGTTTGAGCTAACTTTCCCTCCTTTTCTCTCTTTCTCTTTCCCTCTGCCCCCTCCCCCTTTTTCTTTCTTTCTGAAATTTGTTTCTTTCAAGACCATCACTGTTTTAATTATACATGCTTGGTGTCAGATCAGACAACAGAGAAAAATACAAAGAAAGGAAAACATATCCCTTTTCTAACACTCCACAGACAATCCTGTTAAAAAATATGATACATATCTTTCATTATACCTACTTCTATAAACATATCATATCATCCAAGCTAACTTGAATCATATCATCCAACAAGCTATTTTGTAACCTGATTTTTCACTTAATATCAAATAAGTTTTCATAAAGTAAGTACAGTCTCAAACTCCTTAGGAAATGTATTATTCCAGCAATCCTCATACAAATCCTCTTAAGTTGCTGCATGAAGCATTCCTTTATATAGTGAATTTCTGCCTCCTCCTCAGAAATCCACCAGGTTATTATTATTTTTTATTTCTTTATATCATTCTTCATTTGTGTATTTTTTTTCTCAGTTGTAATCTCCATGGACTTCCCACCACCAAGTCACCAAGTCACCACCAAGTCACTGGACCCTAGTCCAGTGCAGTCCAGTGCACTCTTCCCACCCAAGTTCTGATCCCATGCCCCTTTCCACCCCCATAAAATGTCTCTGATTATAGATGTTCATTGTTTTCATTTTTACTCTTACATTTGTTTTTCTCTTCTCCCCCCCCCAAATCTATTACACTCCTGCTGAGTGAAACCTTTTAATGCATCTTTTCTCATTTTCCATTTATTGTGAATACAGTAGTGTTCATAAAGGTAGAAAGCACAAAGAAAGTCTTCTATAGAAAGTGACTCTAAATAGAAAGCCAATTGCAGGTGCCACTAATGGAAGTGAAAGGAATTTTAAGCAGTCTAAAATGGTAATGGAGGAAGATTCAAAAAAATCAAGCAGCATACCCTTAATATCTCTAGTAAACATGGCTGTTTAATTTTGAGTGTTTTATTTAAAATTACCATGATCAGTAGAAAATACTTATTTAGTGGGTAATTGTGGGTTCCTGTAAACTGGCTACTAGCTGGCCACTTGTGGGCAACTTTGATCAATTTGCTATCTGCAAGTATAGCAGTGCATCCTTGCCTATCTATGGACTATAGCATGTATCACAAGGCAGGCCCGGGAAGGCACAGGCTACTGTTGACCTGATTACATGACTCCATGGTGGTCTCCAGATAACTCTGCCTGTGAAAACATTAGCACATATACTTTGTTGATACAAATGTCTCTTGACTTAATGGTCACGATGTCCCCTTCTCTGTTCCTTGTAAAACTTTGTCCCCCATTCCAATCCCACCCTCCAGACTTTATTCTTCATACCATAGTCACATGATCAGCTTTTTCTAGCCTGTATGCTTTCAGTAAATGGCATAAGAACTTTTGCTCAAGTAGCAGTTTTGCCTTGCAAACCTGCTCCACGACTGTTGTGCCCCTCATCTCATTCCCACTGCAAAGAGGCAACAAAGTTCCTATGGCAACTGATACTAACACTACCTTATATTTAAAAAACAAGTGTGAACATCCCACCTTGATATAAATGTTTCAATTGAAAAAAAGTAAAGGCAAAAATAAAAGAAAAAAAAATTTCATGTTATTAAAGTTTATATTTGAAAAGTTTAATTTGTTTCACAATATACTACACATTTGCTAGAATTTGCATCATTGCTTAAAAAAACAAGTGAAAATAGGAAATTTTTATTTGGAAGACGTGGGGGGGACACATGTTTCTGCAACTTGCTGGCCTGTTATCCATAATATGACCTGTGTTTTTTTCACACACACTTTAATCACTATTCTGCTCTTGGTGATGTTGCTTCTAAAAATTTTACCTTATTGCTCTACAAAAAACTCTGTTTCTTTGTGATTTTTTGGAAATCCACAGTTTACAGATGACAGATCATCCTGGAGCAGTAGTGCTGAATTTTCTTTTCCTAGAAAGGATACCTGTACCCCATTGCTGTTCTAAGCGTAAAGACACTGATCTAAGTGTGAACTTTTTTTTTTTTTTTAACTTATAGGCTGAAATGGCTTTGCTCGTGATGGATGAGGAGGAGGAAAGCAAGAAGCACTTCAATTACAACAAAATTGTAGAGCACCAGAATCTGAGCAAAAAGAAGAAGAAACAGCTTATGAAAAGGAAAGAATTAATAGAGGATGATTTTGAGGTAACCGAAGATAAAATTTATTAGCCTTTTAAGGCTGAAATTGAACCAAAAATCAGCTTTTTTTAAATGCTAGCATCACATACAGTGTGGTGCTCACACTACGAAAGATATACTTAAGTCTAAATAAAAAACAACAGGCTCACACAATATTGTATCATAATCACTGCGTATAATGACTAGTGCAATAGACTGCGCTTTTTTAAATTGTTAATTCATGTTACTAGTGCCCCTTCTTTCCCCTCTTTTTTGCTAAATACATATGTGTATTATGAGAACTATATTCACACATTAATAATCATGCATAAAACTATTTTTCATGAGTATTGGTGATAGTATCACATCATTGCTATAAGTAGCACTACAATTCATTTGCAGGTGAGCTCATTTTTCCCATGGCAATGCAGAATGTCAGTGAGTTGTGCTAGCTGGTCACCTCTGCCTGGCAACACTTAAAAATTTGACTGGTATTAAGGATAAAACTCTTAAATGTCAAATTTAATGCTTTTATAGAAAGATGAGATAAATGTGGGACTTGTAGCTGGTCTGATCTTTGTCTCAAGGATGCACTCTTAAATCTTTTGCAGTGTCCACTTTTTTTTAACTTACTTTTTTTTAATGTACTCGGAATGCAGGGACAACCCATAGAACTTCAGTAGGAGACTCTACTACTGGCTTAATTTTCCCAGCCAAAAATAGATTTAACACTGGAATCCTGGGGAAACCTCACACAGTCACCTAAGTGACCAGATCATTCTCTATATAAATCACAGGTATTCCCTTTCTTCCTGCGTGATAAGAGTAAATATGTTCTGCACATTGTGGTCCAAGCCTTAAAATTCCATTGAAGATGTGTGGGAAAACAGTGGATCAATCCAAAATGCACACGTTTGTATTTTATATAATCAATAACTTGCTGATTTAATTATATTTACTCATGTTTTCCTTTTGGACTTTTAGGTAAATGTTACGGATGCACGGTTTCAGGCAATGTATACATCCCATTTATTCAATTTGGATCCTTCAGATCCTAGTTTCAAGAAAACAAAAGCTATGGAAAAAATCCTTGAGGAGAAAGCCCGGCAGAGAGAACAAAAAGAACAAGAACATACTCAAGCAATAAAGAAAATGGAGAGAGAAAATCAAAAAGAATCACAAAAAAGGTCCATTGATCCTGCCTTGTCAGTGCTGATTAAATCTATAAAAAACAAAACAGAACAGTTTCAAGCAAGAAAGAAACAAAAATTCAAGTAGCTTAACTGTATGGTTTTCTTTTTGGATTAAGAATATGATTTCCTAAAGTATGCAGAATGGTAGGAAGAGTATATTGAGGGAACAAAGAATAGAAGAAACCTTACTATGATCGTTGTAGAATTTCTTTGTATATAATGCTTTGAATTCATTATGCATGTTTGACAGATTTTCACTGTATATTTCCAATGGTTAATCATAATTAATTCAAGAATTAGGCCAAATATAGGGTTTATCAAATTTTTGTTTAATGAAACTTAGTTCACCCTAAAAAAAAGTACTGTTAGCTTTTTTAATGACTGTTTGAAATTGTAAAGAATAGAACAGTACCTGTTACTCAGTCTTAAGTCTGAATAAGAGTTAGGAACAATTTGAAAATAATGTGTGTGCAATACATAATTTCACTGGAAGCAGGAAGCAGATTAGATTTGTATTAGAATATTTATTTTTCTAACCAAAATGGATAGGAACTAGTAGCTTTCTCTGTTTGGCCATATTTATCATAGTTAGCCCATAAGATTATTTGCAAGTAAAGGTAAAATATTTTTATTGTTTAGGTTTGATCTATTGATTCCCTCTGTGAACTTTCCAGTATTTATCATCACTAAAAGATCATGGCTCTTAATTTTCTTATAAGTATAGTATTAATATGCTTATTAGTAGTTGTATAATTATATTTTATTTGTGTGTGGAAAAAGGTTTGTTTTAAAATGTTAAATTATAGCTTAGGGTTTGCTCAAAACTAGTGGTCCCAATTTTTTGGACTTTTGATTTTTTTTTTGGTTTTTAGTCCTTTGCTTTTAAGTCACTGCATCTAACTGCAAATCTCATTTTACTAGCCACACTGAGCGCTTAAGTTTTTTATGTCCTTGTCTGTTTCCTCAAGATTTGATATTTTTCTAGGTAGACAAAAATGAGACTAGCATTATCTTACCCTGCTTATAATAAACATCTTACACCAAGGATGTTAGATTCCCAAAAAAATAAATGCTGTAGTTAGACTCAAAATTGAAAAAAGAAAAGATTAAAAAAAAAAAAAGGCTACTGTCACTATTTATTTGAGTTATTGTGGTTATTACCAGGACCATAGAGCACAAGCCAGTATTGTCACATCTAGAAGAAAGTTGTGAGTCAATACAACTTAGAGTTGTGAATCTCTAGTTTTTCAAACATTTGTCAAAAGTTTTGGGGACCAGCTTGATACCCATTGTCATAACTACTTTCTGAAGGGAATTTGTTAGATACATGAGCAGAAGAGTCATGACTGTGTCTATATTGTCTATGGAATAAGCCAATATTAGGTAACATGCTGGTTTGTCTGCTCATTAGTATCACTTAGAATGTCTTAAAAATTCCTGTGGTCAGTAAGCCTCCTAGACCTATTAAATTATATGTGTGGAATAGGATCCAGGCATGATTATTTTACAAAGTTTGCCAGGTAATTCCAATGCACAGCCAAGATTGAGGACCACTACTTTAGAAGAAAAAAAGACCAAACTATTTTGGGTTTTGGTCTGCAGATTAGAGGTTTAAATAAATTCATTATCAACTCTATTAGCTCTTGTTGCTAAACATCAGATCCAAGCACAGTGACTTCAAGCAACAAACATTTAATATTTCCTAGGAATCTATGAGTTGACAGGTCAGGTATAGGCAAGTTTAGCTGCTGAACTGGAACTTTTGGGCAGTACATATATATGGGTCCTCAGCTGAGAAAACTAGACTATCAGGGGATCACTTATCCAGTAGGTTCATACAGGCTTCTTGTTTGTTTGGTTTTTTTTTTTTTTAAGATTTTATTTATTTATACATACAACAAGTGGGGTACAGGCCAGAAGTATGGGAGGTGAGAGGATTCACCAGAGACAGAGTGGGGAACAGAACAGGTAGAATGACTGAAATACACTGCTGAGGGGAGCAGTGGATTGGACAGGAGAGGTCTGCTGTGCCATGTATGTCCGCTCCCTGGCTGGGGATTGAACTCATGCTGCAGTGGCTGCGAATATCCTCACAGTGCTCTACTTTAACTTGTTACGCCACCAGAGGGGCCCCCCATCCAGGCAGAGGGTTCCCAGCTACAGGGTAAGTGCCAGTGTACAAGTACTTTCCAAATCTGGTACTATCATATTTGTTGTTCCATTTGCAAATCACATGGCCAAAACATCAAAAGTAGCAGAGTTACGTGCAAAGAGACCTGATTAAAATTGGGACACTAGTAAAATAAACATTACTTAGGTTTCCTTTTCTGGGGAAAGTGGCTTTCCCATTGGTTGTTACAAAGTTTGCTGGGTTTTGAGTTAAGAAACTTATTCATGTATAGGTGTTCGCATAAAATAGGTTTTTGCTTTCTTCTCTCATATATCTAGGAGTAAAATCCTTTGTCTCAGGCTCTTCCTGGTGGCACAAAAGTTAGGGCACGGCACTGCAAGATAGCCGGTGTCGTTTTCAGTGTGAGTTTGATCCCCAGGCCCGGAGGTGATCCACATGGTACAGCAGACCTCTCCTTTCTTTCCCACTGCTCCCCTCGGCAGTGTACTTCATCATTCTTCATCACTCTGCCTGTTCTGCTCCCCACTCTATCTCTGGTGAATCCTCTCACACACACCTGTGTCTCTGGGATGTACTCCAGTTCTATGTACATATATAAATAAATCTTTTTTTAAAAGGAATCCTTTGTCTCATGGTAATTCCATGTTTCTAATAAACTACAAAACATTGCCATAGTTGAATTATTTTGTATTACCCCTGGGAACATGTGAGTTCCAGTTCTGCATCTTCACCAGCATTTGATAATACCGTTTTTGTGTTCTTTTACTTAAGTTTTTGCCATTCTAATAAATGGACTGGGATCTCAGTTTTAATTTGCATTTCTCCAATTAAGTGTTCCTCTTCTATTTCTTGGGTAATAATTATAGATTTGCTGTTATATCTTCCTTGAAAATTTGGAGAAATTTACCATGAGTCTTCTGGACCTGAGGTTTTGTAGGAAAGTATTAACTTACAAGCTTAATTTCTTTATATACATGAGACTATTCTGGTCATTTATTTCTTCTTCAGGCCCCATGGAATTAGTGTTTATCATGTAGTTTTTTTTTTTGAAGACTTGGGACGTCTTCTCTTTTGATTGCTGGTATTGGTAATTTGTGTTTTTTGCCATTATTTTTTGCTAATCTGAGTAGAGATTTATCAATTTATTGACCTCTTCTGTGAACCAGCTTTTGATTTCACTCATTTTTCTCCATCACTTTTCCAATTCAACTCATTTGGGGGATATTCCCCCTGCTCTCCAGAAACCAGATTCCAAGCTAATTTTGTTGGGGTGACAACTCAGTAAGCCACCAGCCAGGACTTCTCCCTCCCTGGTAAGGTCTAGAGAGAAAGAAACTATTCCAGATTTGTTCCTCATTATAGTACTCTGCCTCAGCAACAAGGGTTAATGTCTGTACCATATATTCATGATTTCTGCATTATTTTAGAGTTCTTATTCTCTTAACTGTTATCAGTCCTGTTATTTTAAGGACACTCTTAGCAATGATTAATAAAATTTTCTTGTTTAAGTTATTGTTTCTTTCTCCTGATTGGAACCTGACTGACACCCTAGGATACAACGATAATCTTCTTACCTGAACCATATTGGATCCTGAAAGATCCTCCTATTTCTAAATCCGTATTATATGCCTCCTACATCCCTCTTTCTGATCATGAAGGTTTTCTTGAGGTCTGACCATCCAGTTTATCCATTACTTCATAACAAACCACCCCAAAACCATGCAGCTTAAAATAACTACAGTCACATATTTTTTTTAAATAATTCACAGGGCTCAGTGGTTAGGGGTTTTACTTTCTCCACATGTGTAACACTTGGAGTGGTTACTGAATATTGGAGGCTTTGCTTCCACAACAACTTGTTTCACCAGGTTTGAAAGTTAATGCTAGCTGTTGACTGGGATCATGGTGGATGGGTCCCAAAGGTGAGCCAGATGGGAACTATAACAATTATTTGAAATGTACTCAGATGTTACAGAGTGTCATGTCTGCCATCCATACAAATATAATTATAGTAAATGTTCCATTGTTTGAAGTTGCCTGAATGAGGCTTTTCTCTTTGCAACAGAAGAGTTTTAAGTAACACCATGTCAGCAGAGAAATTTGTCTACCAGTATTGGACCTAGTAAATAGGGTAATTAAATAGGTCAGACAAGGAAAAGTTATGCAGACAAAGAAACTTAAGTGACTGAATGAGACCAGTAAGGTTGTTTGCCAATATCTTGTTATCTTCATCTGCCATAGTAATAGAATCCCTGTAGTTAACCATGGACTTTCCATAATTCCTATTTTACACCTTTGCAGTCTGATGTAGAAGATAATGATAGCGTCTAGGTACCTTTTGAAATCAGATCAGACTGAAATGTTGCCTCTTGCTTTCTTCCCTTCTTTCACATTTCTGTCTGGAATGCAGCTGTGTTAGCTAACATTTCAACAGCTATCTTGGATCAAGGACAGAACAGCAAATTATCATCTAAGGATAACATAATAAGCTGTGAGAAGTCAGGATCCTTCAAGACATTATAGGATATAGCTACTATGTTATCCACGGAATGTCCTTTTTGAGACTTCTATGTAATAGAAAAATAAAACACTACCTTATTTAAGCCATTATTTTCCTTACTTCCCTGCATCTCAATTAATACATAGACAAACATGGTGGTATTGAAATAGAGTGCACATGGACTGTTTTGGAGATGTTTGTAGAGGATGTCTCCATATTCTTAAACTCTTGGTGTTATTACATTGTAGCTGGAATGCTTGCAACTTACAAATGCCAAAGTAGGGAATTAACTCATTAATGTAAGACTTCTGGGTATGCACATGAGTCAAGAGAAATGAGTTAAATATCCTCTTACAAGACAACTGGGACTCTTCTAAAATCCCCACTAACATTAGAGTTACAAACTATATGCAGCAACCTTGGGTTCATATTATCATTTCTTCAAAAAGTTTAGGGAGAAGAGTTTCCAATGCAAGTCAAAATCAGGCACATGGGAACATGAAAAAGCATGAATGAGAGTCTGTGCTCAGCATTAAGTATGGGTTCTGCATTACCCAAATTTTGCCAAGATGTGGAGATGAAAACTCCATGCTGTATGACAGTGCCAAAGCAAACAGTCTAATAAATTATTTTATATTAGGGAAAGCTGTGAGAAATGCCAGCTGTTTTCATGAACTTTTTAAAATTAAAATTGAGTTGTTAGCCTTCATCATTACACATTGCTTTTGTCTTGAATATCCTGTCATGAATTTTTTTCACACCTTTTACTAAGACCTGAAATTAATTAGCAGTGTCTTTATTCTTAGACCAGTAAGAAATAATAGGCCCTTTCCTGTTTCAAAAAGTGTGTCTAATGAGAAAGGCAGGAAATGGCCAGTAAAGTTAAAATTTGGTTTTAATTTTTTGGACAAATTATCAAAGTAAGACTTAGTTTGGAAATATCTTTAAATTAGAAATGGGGCAACTCTAAAAAGACAGATGAGTTTAACCTGACAGCAGCTCATTATTTGATGAAAGAAAAAGTCTGAAAACAATTTGATTTACGTATGTTCCGCTATTTGATTCTATTGTATAGACTTGTTCTAGGGCAAATTTGGGCTTCTTGTGGGGAGCCCACACAGTCTCATGGAACACACAGGGGAACAGTGTTTCTTCAGATTTCTCCAGATCCAAGTGGACCTCAATTCCCCTATCCATTCCTTCAGGAATGTTGCAAGTAGTACAAACCAACACAAACTCGCTTTAGCAAAATTTAAAAAGACATGAGAGTGGATATTTATTTTAAGAGTCCTGTGGAATTCCATAGCACAGACTCCAAAGGCAGGAAACCAACTAGTTCTCAGGAAGAGACTGGGAGCTGGAACTAGAATGTCCTCAGAAACTCTCTCACACTGTTCTGTTTTCTTCTATTCATCTTGTTTTACTCATTGCTGCCAATATGAGTAAATCTCTCTCCTTAGACCGCTGGGCAAGTTGAAAAAGATGACCACATCAGAGTTTCCACATTTCAAGTTACAGACCCATTTTTAATATGTTTCCTGGAAAAAAGGAATTTTTGTCTTAAGTTTAAAAGAATCAGAAATGAATTTTGAAAATTTCATCATGATTAACCATTTTCTAAGTAACCATTTTCTCAATGTTTATATTGTCATGCAATATTAAGAACAGCTTGGTTAATTTATTTTTTAATGTTAAAGACCAACCCTGATATAACCTAAAAAACAATTTTACACTATGATGATAAAACTGAAAAGATATTCCAAACATTTAAAACAACAGAATTACAAAAGATTCTTAGTGTCTACAAAAGAGGCATGCAAAATAATGAATCTACTGACAAAAGAAGAATTTTATCTTCAAATGAGCGATGACTTTGTTGTTAAAAATCTGGAAAAATGTATTCACTTGGAAATTTTTCTTTAAGCTTTGTCTTGATGGCAAACAATCAATAAAGCAGTTAACAGATACTAACCTCCTTATAGAAAGAACTCCTACATCTGATCTTACTTTTCCTGAAGGAAGAGAAACTTAGGCTATCTGGAAGGATACATGTGACACTGGTAACAAGGATTGCCTCAAAGGAAGACAGTAAAAGGAAACTTATTTTCCTGTGATACCTTTGTATTTGGCTTTGTTTTAGCGTATGCCACTTTAAAATTCTTTAAAAATTTTGTTTTTTAGTAAAGAGGCATATAATAAGGATTCTGAGCTGAAGCTTTTTGCTATAAAGGGCATTCTTGGGACAGCAGTGGAACCTGAATGGCCTGA